ATTATTTATGTGTTTTTTATATATATATATATATATATATATATATATATATATATATATATATATATATATATAATATCGAATCAAACACACTTGTAATCTGCAATCTTGAATGGTGCTCTTTCCTTCTTCGCTGTTCTTCACCCTCTTCATCAATTTCTCCATGACATGTAAACTTTTATTCTCCATCAGATCGCTTTATCGCACACGCGTAAAAATCGCACACCTTCATTTCACTAAAATCTCGTATCCTTTACTGCAGATGATGCTCCAACGTACGTCAATGGTCAACAGTTGTCAGAAGAAACCGTTCTTCATCACGTAATTTTAAATCTTGTCGATTTTTTAAAATTTTATTACTTCTTAACTACTGTGACGAGGTGTTGATTTGCTTTATTCACGTTTCTAGGGTGATCGCCTTGTCATTGGCGGAGATCATTATTTTCGGTAAAATATACAATTTCAAACTTTTTTGTAAACTTACGAATTTCCTATACCATGAAATCCTGATTCTAACCGTATAGACTAAATCCAAAATTTTGCCCGAATGTAAAGTTTTCTCTTGTGCAAAGGTTCAACCATCCCATGGAAGTACAACAACGTAGACAAGAAAATTCCGAGAAAGGAGAAAGTGTTGTTCCTAAAGATTTTGAATTTGCCAGGAATGAATTGGCACAAGTGCAGAATGCCAGGTAACAATTTGATCGATAACTCTTTCTAGTTCGAGAATTTGTCTAGCATTAAGAAGTAAACAGAGCCGTTCACAGCGGGGGGAGGGGCAGCAGGGGCAACTCCCCCTGGTGGAAAAATCCTGCTTACTGCCCAGCATGTACTTTCTGTTGTAACCCTGTTATAATTTTACCGATTTTACTGAGTTTTGTATTTTTATCTTTCAAGGCTTCAAGCTGAATTGGAAGAAGCGAGAATAAAAGCTCAAGAAGAAATAATGGTTGAAATACAAGTTGCAAAAGTAAATTGGTCACAATGCTTCTTAACTATCTATAACAGTACCATTAACATAGACTAGCTCCCAGTCCCGCTCGGATTGGTTTCATTTTTGACAGAGTCTATCCAGTTGATTATGATTATGAGATCAAGTCATGAACTGATCTCATAACAAGCTGGATAGACCCTATGAAGCCAATTCGAGAGGGACTTGAAGCAAGTCTACCAATTAGTCTACCATTAACCTTATGCCTAGCCTGCATGGCAGGCGGTCCCTAAAATCGGGCAAGGTTTCCCCCTCGCAGCCTTGCCCGATTTGAGGGACCGCCTGCATGCAGGCTACCTTATGCCCACTTGTTCGTCTTTTCTAGTTTGGGTCATTTTTCACTCCCTCTTCTTCCACTGTAATTTCGACATTGTTTTATCTTATCTATAGGAGACAGCGCAACAGGAATTAAATGAACAAAAACAATGTTATGAGCAACGGCTGAATCAATTACAAAACAGTTTGGTAAGGCGAAGCGTAAGATTTCATCAAGCGAAAATCATAAATATATCATGTGTGTTTCTTGTTCATTCAGAACGAGGTTGGCGCTGAGAAAACGGAGATCGAGAAATCACATCAAAGTGCGGAGGACAAAATTAATCAATTACAAGCGCATAAAATGGTACGTTCTAGTCAGGGTTCCAGTCAGTACAGTTTCATGGGTTTTGCACATATACATAATTTCCATTATGAGATAGCAAGGAAACGTTAGAAAAAACGAGTTCGTTTTAAGATCGTTAATAGCGTTAAAGGTGTTTGTATAGTAGGCTGTCAGTCTAACAGAAATATTACCTTGACCATTTTCGTTTTAGCTCCTTGAACAAGAAATTTTGAACAACAGGAAGAGATTGCAAATGGAAGCTTTGGCAGCAAAACAAGTAAGAAAATCTTCTTCTAATTTTTCAAATTTTATTTCAGATTTTCGCAAAGATCACGTCTTTTAATTTGTACTGTATCATTATTTTGCCTAGGCTCTTGAAGAAACGAAAGTCAATCAAGTTCGTATTATTTCCGAGTTGGAAAAAGAAAAAAAGAAGATAAGGGAAGATGTAGAAAAACTAAAGAACGCCAAGGTACAATTCTTATTGCTCTGCTTTATGTGATATACGCCCCTGACCCCTGATTTGCAGTAGAACAGTCTGTGGTCCAACTTTTGGTAAACTTGCTGTGACTACTCGAACGAGATTTAATAAACCATTGACTTGAACCACTGCAAGTTGCAAACAGATGTATTCGTTGTAATTTTTTCTTTTAGCAAGCGAGAGAACAACGTAAAATGAGTATTGTTTCGAAAGGTATTGGCTAGTCAAGTTTCATGTTGAATTTCTCAGCTGTTTATGTTAATTTAGCCGCATAATTACTCGTAAGTGATTGTTGATGATTGCTGACACAGTTTGCTTTGTATTTTCAGATGATAAAGGGAATAGTGAATTGTTACGAATATCTGTGATGTTACGAGAAGCGAACAAGATCAGCGAGAATTTGAAAAGACATTTGGTGAGATTGATAATGAATGTTGTAAATGATTTGTGAAACGTTTTAATGAGAACATTCGTATTCTTCAACAATATAAAATAAATTAATGATATTTGGTGAGAAAATTGAACTTAAAGTTTATGTAAATCATCATGATTTTGTATCAGATATACAAACTCCTTCATGGTCATGTTTTCTTTTGTGTTTTCTTCATGAATTATTAATAAGTTTCACAATAAGATTATATACGATTATAACGCACAATTAATATAATAACCTGGGTAGAATACTGAATGTTTCACACATATATAAATAAATATAGATTATATTTTTACAAGGTGTTTGGATGGAGACTGTATTTTTTCAATTTCATTTATTTAGACATTCAGTCGAGATGATATCTTGCTTAACGACAAGGTATGTACCTAGCTGCTAACTCCTTTCCCATGACTTTCGTTGTTTTTCATGATGCCCTGACATTTTTATATTTTATTTCAAAGATGGAGGTGAAAATTCGTCTGAACAACACAAAACTTGGAATCACAACCGTGTGGTCTTTGCAAAAATTTGAAGCAAAGTTGATGCATATGAGAGAAATGTACCAGGTAATTGTGGCCTTTCATACAGGAGAAATTTCCAAAGTCCTCCTATTTAAAAAAAGACATCTTTCTGACATGTCGCCGATCGTTTCTTAGCAAAGCGAGTCGGACAGTATCAGTGGCGACGAAGATCCATTCAGTGACCCTTCAGATCAGTGGGAAAAAGATTTTAGACTGGATTCACCGTCAGAAACAATGTATGTATGGCTTGTTGTTCTCAGAAGTGTAGCAACACTAACTTAAAGTGATTTTGAAACGGAAATTAAACCCGAGATTTCTGGTTTACTATGCCAAAAAAATTTCCGGACATAAAAAAGGGTCAAAAAAATTTTCCGGACAAAGACCAGTTAAAGGAAGGTTCAAAAACATTTTTTCACGACAAATTCCTGTGAAAACATGGGTAAAACCCTTTTTTTACCAATATCTGTAAAATGTAGGTCTAGAAATTTTTTCTCATCCCATTAATTATATATAAAAAAAACGTTCCAAATTATTTTTTGAACTGAATTATTTTTTGAACCCCCATGAACTGGAGGCCCGGGGCAAATTACAAAACTGGTCTACGATTCCACTATTCCAGCCTGGTTCATTTCTTGAACGGTCTGTTCAAGGCTGGAATCGTAGTCCAGTTTTGTATTTTGGTCTTTGTGTATTTTATTATTTATTTTTATTTATCTAGACGGATGAGCAGACGCGAAACTCTTGATTTAGTTTCAAATTTGAAGAACTCCTTAGCTTCTCCTCTTTCGTGCAAGGTTTTTACGCATTTCTTCTAAGTTTGTTTAAAATTGTTGTCTTTTTATTGTATTGTTTATTTTAATTTTTCTTTATTATTTTCCGTAGGGCAGTCCATCAGTTCTTTACGGTGTGTCACCTCGAGCGAGAGTTCTCGTTAATAACGCTGTGAACAGGCAACAAGGTAATGGATGGGAGTGTTGGGTTGCTGCATGTGACTTTCACTATTCCTGTAATATATAGTTGTCTGATTGACTGATATTTAACCTCAGTCGCATGATGGGAATAGTGGCTCCAGTTGGACTCTGGTTTGTCTCCTGTAGTCAATAAAAGATGACCCTTACTGGACCTGTAGGAAGAACAGTTTAGAACTGATAGAGCTATCCAGTATAAATAAAGTTAGTTTAGTTTAGGTTTCCTCCTGTTGTAACACTGGATCAATAAGAGATGATCCTTACTGGACCTCTAGGAAGAACAGTTTAGAACTGATAGAGCTATCCAGTATAAATAAAGTTAGTTTAGTTTAGGTTTCCTCCTGTTGTAACACTGGATCAATAAAAGATGAACCTTACTGGACCTGTTCAATATAAATTACGTGAGCTGTTAGTAAGTATTAATGACTTATTTTGCAGAAAAAGCTGAAAATATTTTTGCAAAGTACAAGAAAACTGAGTCGACCTCCTCTGAAGCTAACAGGATATCTCAAGCGCCTTCACCACCACCAACGGATAATTTCCAACACGGTATGAAAACTCTTTCAAAACTTGTGAGGCACTATTTTGTGTCTGAACTGCTTTTGAAATATTTTCAAATCTTCTACACTAGATTCTTACGTTTGAGAATACTCGCAGTATATTCCAATATCTGTTTCGAACCTTTATTTAAATCGTTCTTACCCTTTGTCAAGGTCAACGTTTACGAAACGTCTCATCTGTGCCCGCGATATGCCGTGATATGGTGTCCACTCTTATATCACGAATGGAAGGTAGCATATTTGCTTATTTTTTTATTAATATACGAGTTAGATATTTTAACCCGAGCCGAAATATAGCGACCCATCTTATGAGTTCATTGACGAAGTAATTTTAAAAATCAACTTTGTCTAAGCCGAGAAAATAAAAGCTACATGATTAACATGATTGTTTATTAGGTGTAAAACCACCGATATTATTAATTAATTATTAATGAGTTTTATAACATGTGTGTTCTCTTGTTCAAGGTTTGTCCACGGCAAATGAAGTCCCTTTCCACGAACGAATAATAAATAGCGTGAACGAAATTTGTATTTCTGTCTCAGCTCTACGTCGAACGTTTAGAAATGACAATGGCGCAAGTCATGTTGGTAAGCAAAGATATTTTTTGATGGTATAAAATTTTCTCGTCAGCCATCCATGGAAGAGGAATGCTTCCAGTTCGTCTCTTCCCATTCTCGTACCCAGAGCCCTTCTTACGCGCGGTCAACGGAGCGCGACGAGGGGCTCTGGCCAAATCCATATCAAACGTAGGTTATTGTTCTAATAAAACTGTCTGTACCAGTGTGGGTACTACCAATGTGAAAATGCTGTGCTGAGTAGTTATATTACTACCTTAAAAAACAAACAGAAACTCGACGTTTCGAGCGAAGGCCCTTCGTCAAGAGTTAGTACCATGTTTTTATGGTATCCGGTTTTGGATTTGGCCAGAGCCCCTCGTCGCACCGCGCGTAAGAAGGGCTCTGGGTACGAGAATGGTCTCTTCCAAACAACGCAGATTTCTTTAGTTTGCTCCTGTGAACGACAGCCCTTACTATAAACCTCTAGAGAGAACAAATAAAGTTGGTGTAGTTTAGGTTTCCTCCTGTAGTAACACTGATCAATAAGAGATGACTCTTACTGGACCTCTCTAGGGGGAGAACAGTTTAGAACTGATAGAGATTCCAGTATAAATAAGGTTAGTTTAGTTTAGGTTTCCTCCTGTAGTAACACTGGATCAATAAGAGATGATCCTTACTGGACCTCTAGGAGGAAAACAGTTTAGAACTGATAGAGCTATCCAGTTCAAGTAGCATCGTTTGCAAATATTTTGAGATTTATTCGCCACGTATTACGTCTCATTCCAGTACCACTGCGAGAGACTGAAATTGTCCGACGTCATACTATTCAAATTATGACATCGTTGGATCGACTCCTGGAACAAACGCGGTCGTGGAGAATGGTCCTGGACGCTAGCGGTGTGGAGAAAGTCCGCGAAATGACGTCACGGTTGTTAGACTCCGTGCGGAGGGTGGCAGCCCACTTGGCGAAATTGTTAATGGTATGCATACAGTCTTTTGATTTGGGTTTATGTTTGTAATTCTCTTAAATTCCAATATTTAAAGTTTCAATATTTTCAAAAAAGTTTTAAAAGTTAGGGTTAGTGGTTAGGGTTGGGGTTAGTGTTAGGTGCCGCGAATTTATTATTATGACAAAGCCGAAATGTGCCGCGGATTTCTCATGGTGATGAGTTCGGGCGTGTTTGGGAATTTGCTCATGTGGTGAATTCGGGGGTGGAGCTCATGCTGTCATTTCAAAGTATTATTGCTATCACTAAATGTATCTTTAATCGGAGGAGTGCCTCGCATGGCCTCGAGTCCCGTTCGCACTCCTACCGTTTGCTCACTATCCAATAAAGTATTTAAAACAAATTTATTTGGTTAGTCCAGGTATACCTTTCATCTCCGTGACAGAGGTTTGATTTCTGTAATATACAGTTGTCTGATTATAATTTCACCTCAGTCACATGTGAGAAGATTCCTTCCAGCTTGACTCTACACGTAAAAACGCACAAGTTGTATCAAACCTGCAGCAGACTTGTAGCAATGCTGTTCCAACAACTTATCAACAGGTTGTATTCGCACTGCTTGTTCCCCGCTTGTTGACAAGTTGTCAACGGCTTGTTGACAAATTACTACAAGGTTGTTGAGCTCAACAGACTTGTTACAAGTTGTTCCAACAACTTGTTATCCTCCTGGAATTCAACAATTTGTCAACAAGTTGTGAGTGACAACCTTGTAGCAACTTGATAAAATAACAGCATTGTTACAACTTGTTGACAAGCTTGCTACAAGCCTGTTGCGAACACATCTTGTTGACAAGTTGTGAGATTTTTACGTATGTAACAGACAGTTGAGAACTGAGAGTTATTCGGCATAAGTAGTTCTCGAACCGTCAATATTTCGTAGTTGAAATCTATAAGTTTTTATTCTCTATTTTAGGGTTGTGACGGAGATATGGTGTCATTGATAGAGGAGTCTGGAGACAAGCTTGAGAATTGTCTTTCCATTCTGGTCAAACAGGTTTCCAAACTGGTTGTGACATCACCTGTTGAAGTCACAGAAGATAGCCTGTCAGAAGAACTGGAAGTAAGATAAGATGACTATTAAACATAAGTTTATTTATACTGGATAGCTCTATCAGTTCTAAATTGTTCTTCCTAGAGGTCCAGTAAGGATCATCTCTTATTGATCCAGTGTTACTACAGGGGGAAACCTAAACTAAACTAACTTTATTTATACTGGATAGCTCTATCAGTTCTAAACTGTTCTTCCTAGAGATCCAGTAAGAATCATCTCTTATTGATCCAGTGTTACTACAGGAGAAAACCTAAACTAAACTAACTTTATTTGTACTGGATAGCTCTATCAGAGAAGGTGAAAGGCACTAATCACTGTGTTATGTTGTGTTTTCAGATCCAGGGGTCATGTGCGGCAGCGTTTGTAGAAGGTCAAAATCTTGTTCTCCGTGACTCGATACAAGATTGCAATAAAATAATCAAAGAATCACTAACTAACATCCAGAAACTTATTCACAAAGACACGAACGAGGTGCGTTAAGTGTGTTTTTTTTCTGACTCTGATCACCACGGATTTTTTACAATCTGCTGCACGACTTGTTTCTATTTTCAGGCGGAGAAAGAGATAAGGGATGACGCTACAAGATTGTTGAAATCTGTTTTGAACTTTACTCGAAATGTTGACGACATTCAAGTAAGTCAAGCTTTTTCTTCTGTGTTCAAATCATGGCAGGGTTCGATTTATTGGGGGGGGAGTGTACCAGCCTTAGCAAAGAGAGGTGCCAATTTCATTATCAAATCAGTTTTGGAAAGGCAATATCCTGTCAGCATTACCACAATAATGCCTCTAAACCCTTCCAATCACCTTTTCATTGTTTTCAAAACCCCACTGTTTCCACGTCATTCAACTAGCGTCCTAAAACAGCCCTATAAAATATTTTTGAATTTTTTAATCATTCTAGAAAACGTTAGGAGCTTTCAAAGATCTGACGTCAGACTCTGTTGCTGGGAGACGATTGTACTGCTGTCACCAAGTGGTCAGCAGTACTCGGTCAGTAACAGACGCTTCTGAGCATCTGACGAAAGCCGTTGGGGCACTGAAACTAGACAAGCCGAGGTTATTGACTGGAATCATTGAAATTGCGACAGAACTTAAAGCATCGGTCGCGAATATCCTGGAACACACGCAGGTCCTCGTGGAGCTCGACACGAGTGGGTCCACGAATCAGTCCCGCGAGAGGTCCACGAGTCAATCCCGCGAGCGGTCCACGAGTCAGTCCCGCGAAAGGTCAATGAGTCAGCCCCACGAAGAGTCCACGAATGAGTCGCGCGTGGAATTCACGCTGGAATCTCGCGAGACGCCCACGAATGAGTCTCGCGAGAGATCTTCAAGTATATCGTTCCTATTCACATCAAAAGACAAACTCCAAGTCAAAGCGAAGAATGTTAGACTGACATCACGTGAGCTGGCACAGACATTAAGGAAGTATTCGTTCCTTTCTGATGAGAGGACTGGGGAGAGAAAATTTGTACGGGGCACCTATGGCACTCCAATATCTAACGGAATCTCCAGAGGCCTCAGAGACAGAACTAATTCCCCGGTTTCTTTTCAAAAGAAGATCGGGCATGAGTTTTCCCAACAAACACCACCGCGAAGCCCGCGGGAAGGTTTTACGGTTTTTCGCTCGAAAGAGTCACCATTATAGAATAATGCAATATTTTTGTAAACATTTTGTTTTATCCAGTCACAAATGTATTTATATGAATAATTATTTATTCCTTTCACACAAACACAACTAGCTAACAAAGAGCTGGAAATAGAAAAATTAACCCAATGATTTTGTTTGTAAAACTAGGGGAGTTGCACCGTCTTCTGAATCTAATGAGAAAGATGCATACATCAAGGTTTTACGTAAAAATAATAGACAACGTTCTCATCTCTGACTGTTCATTGTATGATGCAAATGTGTTTTTGATGCTCTTTCATGTGTTTTTTTTCTCACTCCCCTAATATTCTCTCATCCTCTCCCCCCCGACCATCAAAAATAGTTCGCTCTGATTGGTTGAAAAGTGACTTCGTTGTTTTCTTCAAGATGGCGGAACACGTGGAGGAGCGAGTGAGTAGAAAAACTAGATTTCAAATAGATATATGTTTATATATAGCGTTATTAAATGCGTAAAAACACGGGCTAATTGTGAAAATGTTTTTGTAGGATGTAAACGAGGGCGTTTTACCTGTAGAAGATGTTGTTAACAAGTATTTACGTGGATCAAAATTGAAATTTAAGGTAGATCACTATGAAGTCTTTATAGATGAGAGTTAGACATGGACAACATAGCCTATTATTGGTCAAAAATAAATTTAAAATTCTTCTGAATTCTGTCTTTATTATGAATTGCAGGATATAAAAGATAAGAAACTACGCGGCAAACTAAAGAGCCATGAATCTAAATATCGAGAAGCTGCTGTTCAAGCTGCCAGATCTGAGTTGCTTCTACCTGAAGAGGCTGGGTAAGTTGAGCTTTGAAAGCTTATTACCAAAACCATAATACCCCTGCCACAAATGGCAATGGTCCTCCCCCCAAAGGGTGACAATCCTCCCATAATATTATCTTCATATTTAATAAATATTATTATTATAATCTTCATATTATCAATAAATATTATTGTTACATTTCTGTTTACCAGATATCTGGAGGCTGAAGGTCTTGAGAAAACCTATCATTTCAAACAGTCTGATATTGTCAAAGCTGTTGATATTTCTACTGCGAACAAGGTAATTTGCATTTGTTGAAGAAGTCACCCATTTAATTACCCAAAATAGACTGTTGTGATATGAGTAAATTACTCTTGTAGCATTTTGAGCTGAACCTGGAAACATTTGCACCGTATAATATCAACTATACACGAGATGGCAGGTATAATATTGTCTCAATTACTGTCTTCTTCATTCAATATTGTCTCAATTACTGTCTTCATCATTCATTGTCTTACTGATTTTTCTACTAGAAATCTTCTACTTGGAGGAAGAAAAGGACATCTGGCTGCCTTTGACTGGAAAGATAAAAAACTAAAATGCGAGTTTCATGTGCAAGAAACAATTCGTGATGTTAGGTAATGGAAAACAAAGCTTAACCCATTATTGTGCAAGGATCTCCCCTTCATCAGGGATGTCGCAAAGACATCAACATTGGGGGGGTGTCGTCATGTTTTGACCAACTTTTCCTAGGATTTTGACCAAGTGGTAAAAATTTTTCCCGGAAATGTTGGGGGAGGGGGGGGGGG